TGACTGCAATTATAAAGCCTGATGGCTCAATTTGACCACAATTTGCTTCAGGCAAACCTGGAGCAAAGCCATCTGAGTTCCCCATGTGCCTTCACTGGAGGAGCAAAATGAGTTTAGATTTTGGGTGAGTTTTCCCTAATCAGGAAAGGCCTTGTAATGAAAAGCTTCAACCAGGGAGCAAAATAGGTCAGGAAGATGTGGGTACGGCTATCTGATGTTTTTCTTCCTCTATGGCTGAGGTGAGGTTCTGCACCTCAGCCATAGAGGAAGAAAAAGAGGGGAGAATAGTCAAGAGTAACAGAATCAAAACTGCACTAATGGCTTGCACCATTTATTCATCATGCAAGCCTTTTTCTCAGGGTATGGCTATGTCTGGAAGCTGCAAAAGTAGTATGCAACATCAGTTCGTTCATTAATTGCTTTAGATGCACAGTGAACCTTATTTTCATTTTTAAACTATTTTAAAGATTTTAAAACACGTTCACAATGTTTTTCAAAATCAGTTCAGTTAAAAATAAGTAAACACAGACAGTAACACCAACAACATAATCAAAACCGCTTTCTTATAACCACTTATCTACAAATATGTATGTCTACCACGTATAGGATTATAATATAAAACAATAAAAGACAAGTACTTAAAACTGGTGCATCAAATAGAACATCACTGAGCACTTACTATGTTATTAGAGAGCATGATGCTGCATTATTCAGAGAAATTATAGCTCGTATGATCCTAGTGGATTAATGGCACACAACACACAGTCATCCCAGTAATAATTTTTTAAAAATCTTTCCATTTATAGGAACAATCCTTCTGTCCATAAATTAGCCATGGATTTCCAAAATGCCCAGATTACTACAATTACCTGTTCTGAGCATACATGGATTTGAGGTATATCGTATGCTCTATGCCCATATTTGCATGTGGAGTTTAATAAACTTTCTATTCAAAATAAATTAAATTGGGTTCTGAAAAATGGAGGTTTCTTGCAGACTGGACACATCCTTCCTCTGACAGTCACATAACAAGCTGTGAGGAATTCTCCTCTTGACACCTTGATTAGGTCAGGCATTTCAACAAACTGAAGCACATCTTTTAGCATCTAGAGACTAGAGACACAATACTTACTTGAAGGTACTGATGGAAAAAAATGGCTCCTAACTGGATGCTCCTAATATCAATGTTGCATCATCTGGAATTTGCAGCACAAAATGACCCCCAAGGTTGTTTATTTCTTTTTTTTTTGCTTGGACAGCAGCAACTGTTTATAGATCTTTTTATCAGATAAAGGAGAACATCTCTCCTAGGCAGACACTTTGGAATGAACTGAAGCAGCCCACTCTCTGTTTATAAGCTGCCTCACTTCCTTAGTTTGAATCATTTTAAGAAGGGAGCCAAGTGCTTGCTTACTTCTTTAAAATCTTTTTAGAAGCTGCTGTTACTTCAAATGAAGGTTTGATACCATCTCTGTATAAAATCCTGCAAACGTATTTGTTGGATGACATATCGTATGGGTATGGGAAAATGACTCAGGTGAGTACTTACTTACTTACTTACTTGATTTCTATCCTACTCATTAGCCAAAATGGGCCACTTGCAAGAAGATCAACACTAACATAAAGAAAGCACAGCACAAACTTCTCAGTAGGTGGCACCTTACTCCTGCAAGGCTTCGCCTAATATATCCAAATTCAAGTCAGAGCAGTTGGAATATTGTTCATACATTCTTATTTAGCAGAAATGGTTTGGAATAGGAGTTTTGTGCAGTGGTCTTGGAACATGGTTACTGATTACTCTCAGGAATTTCTTCCCATTAGACCATTACTAACCCTTTTTCTTTAGGTACTGAAATCCTATTTAGCCTGTTTTAATGTTGGCATTCCATAAACACATAAGTTAGAAACAAATAATGATAATTTATGATTGCTTTTTCGCTTTAGATTCTTGCTTCATTATGTATGTTCTTTTTGTTGCAGAATCATCTCCCAGTCATACACGTATGCTAGCTTTTTGTTATATTTTAGTTCCAGTAGGATGTGGCGAATGTCTGACAGCAAGCCCTTCGATATTACTACGTTTACAGAGTATAGGCCTGTACTTGAGCTCTTGATGTACTGGCAAGTTTTGTCAGCTCATTTATGTCTCAGTTGGATGTACTGAAGTCATTTTAACAGGAAGTTAGGGTGTTCCTTTTGATATAACGGTTTTAAGATTGATGGCCCGCAAGTTTCTGCTTTGAGGATCCTGCAGCCATTTCCTTGAGAGGTTATTTGCCAGTAGAGCAGGATGAACTAAGTGTGAGGGTCCCTACAGATTTATTTTTCACACCACCTACCTTTTGACTGCATGAATCAATAATGCCAAGCACTACTTTTAGCTGGTGTTGACACCTCTTCCACATGCCTTTTATACTGACGTGGCATTTGCACTAGTTACTCATGAACAATTGCTCTAATGTGATAATGTGGCTGTTTAATATACCCTGCTGGTGAGAAGTTGACTTGAGCAGAATGTAGGTATATGAAAAGGACTACGGGAACATGCATACAGCTCTGCATTGTTCGAACAATGGTAGGGTGAGTTCTTCCCTCTCTTGCCAGAAATATTTCTGTTCCAATGGTCAGCTGTTCTGAACCTGCGGAAGTGGGTGAAGAGGAACAAGGGCTGCTGAAGAGTTGGACTCTCCTTGCTCAGGAAGTAGAGTGTGGCAAATGAAAGCCAGCCTGGCTATGGCCATTAGCCCAAAGATGTGTCCGCAAAGCTGAAGAATACCCATCCTGCCCAGAGTAACCGCTAAGTAAAAAGCAGACTTTCTCCATTTCATTTCTTTCTTCCTGTACAATGAAACCGGCCAACATTTTTCCTCTGCTCCTCTATTTTGGTGCATTATCTTTAACTTTGTAAATCTGAGGCTTTCACATACGGGACTGAGACATTTTTTACTTTTAATTGGTTTAATCCAGTTAGGGATACTTTTTGTTTTGTTATGAAGTGAGATAGGAAATACAATGCCTCAGATAAAACAAATACATCTTCAGAATTTGATTGACTTCTATTTAAACTTTTATCTGTCTTCTCGACAGATTGTCTTTAATAGTTTTTTTCACTGTCATGTGACATTGTCACATTTTTGAAACAGCTCAGCAGGTAGCTAACTTCATACTCTGCCAAGCTGCATAAAGGTAGGTTCCTTCTAGACAACCATCATAATAACCCAACTGGCAAACAAAATGGTAAGATGCTTGATAGATTACTACTGCTGTCAGAAAAGTAGTGACATGTACTAACAACGTTATGAAAAGCCTGTTTGGTATGCCTGGCTTGTAGTATCCAGTCATCAAATGAATATTTTGAGTGGGTGACTTGAGTGATTATAATTTCCAGAATGCTGATGAGCCTTTTTTGTTCTGAGAACCAGTGCTCAGATAATGGGCTATATTTGCCTTGTAAGATGCTCATTCATTAATGGGTAAGGTCCTACTAGCAATTTCAACAGATCAAATGTAATGAAGGCCAGACACTGCAAAGAAAATTTGATAGAGACAAGGTGGAATTAGCACCATTCCTCAAGGAGTAGCTCCACAAAGCTGCACTAGGTATTGAAATATTTTCGTGTTTATGCTTCCTTCTTACTGTATCAAAATGAAGCCAAAACATACTATTACAATGGATAGATGCAGTCATCTTTCTATATGCAGTTTCTGACACTGTGTTTCACATCAAAAGGAAAATAGTATTTTCATTTAATGCCAGATTTAACCATCTTTTAACCTGTTACAATATGTTAAAATCACACATTCCTCTGCTATGTTGGGTGGGAGCTGATCTTTTAAAGACTCTTTTTTCTTTCAGATATTATATTTGCAGTTATTTTTGGCACAACCACACTTGAAGTAGCCTGCAACGAGACACTGTAAAATACAAAATACAGTAATCAAATAATAAACTCTATAACAGGAATAGGAAACCTGTGCTTCACCTGGTATTGGTGGACTACACACATTAGCAAAGTGAATGCTCAAGGATAATGGATTTGGAGTCAAATAACTAGGTTTCCCACCCCTACTCTAGATAAAAAATCTAGTGGGGGGTTGGAAATATAATACAGCAACAGTTAACCACAATCAATCCTCATACTGCTTAATCGGGAGGTGGACTGCACTGGAATACATAAAGGCATTTCAGCCTCCATTTAAATCAGTCACAGGAAAACTGGTATCCCCAGGCATTTGGAACCACATGTCCCATAGTCCCAAATTATCAGCCATACTCAAGTTGTTGATAGTTGCAGTCCAAAAAATCTGGAAGACATCAGGTTGCCCATTCTTGATCTGATAGAGAATGAGTGTGGATTTATCTTCTCATGGAGAATGTTCTAGAAGGTGTGCCCCTGTTGGAAACACTATCATTTCTCATCAATCATATCTGAAAATTAGAGCATAGATGAGGCCTTCCAAGCTAATCTCAGGAAAAGAGGAGAGAAGATATGGGAGAAGCTATTAGAGAACACGTCTGGATGTATCACCAGGGATCTTATGTACAAGCAGAGGGCAAGGATGAAGCATATGGATAACAACAACTGCTAGAAACATTAGCACTATTAAGGGATACACTATCAGGGTTTGTGATCAAGGAGAACACTTAAACCCTTCATTTTGTTCTCAGCATAGAAGCAAGGCACACAGAGATGTTTAGGGTAAGATTTACACATGAGCTCATGCCTCCCTATCTAGTTTAGACCTGCACTCAATTGGAGGAAGACTGAATAGGGTACTGTCAATGTTAGCTCCCACATCAAAACAAAGAGAGTTGGGTTGTTGCTGTTGGGGTTTTTTGTTTTGTTTGGCAATTTTAAATGTTCGTGGGGAAAAATTAAACTGATGATTTAGAGAACTTAGGGAATCAATTTATATTGATCTAATATGGAAAGTAACAGATGACAACATGTTCAAGAAATTTGTTATCAATCATTTATTACTGAAAACAAATTGGATTTTCTTATCTGGCACATAAACAATCATTTCTACAAAAAGGAAAGCCTACAAATTGTGATAATTTATAGAAATACCAGTTTTCTCAAAAAATAAAAATTTAATTTAGTAAATTTGTGCTTTTTCAAAGCACTGTCTACAATATCCACCACAAATCCCTGAGCAGAGACAACATTTTAAACTTATTCCAAAATTGAAAGTTATAAAGCCCAGCCCTATAGTGAACATGTATGGAGAAATATGGAACAATCTTTCTTCTTTTTAATCTTCCACTTGTCATTGTTGAAATGAGACAGTCAATATCATAAAACCTTATGAATCACTATTGTGCAATGAATGTAAGAATTAATATAGAATACACAAAGGAGAAGCTAGAATAACATATTACAACCACAAAGTTGTATTTGCATCTGATAGCTGAAACTTAAGAGGTTTCAGCATGCTACACTTGGGGCACAATTCTATACTTATTTACATGGAAGTAAGACCTATGGAACACAATGGGACTTACTTCTAAGTAGATATGCATAGCATTATTCCAGAAATGCATTCCTAAAGATTAGTTCAGCTTTTATTTTTACAAATAAAAAGGAAATGCAGCATGATGGTTATGATACTAAAGAGATTCAATCTACCATTTATACATTACCATAATCCTTACCCTGCAACACTGAAAATGTGGAATTTTTATTTCATATTCTTTCCTATATCATTATAAAAAGCTACTTTGGATGCAAAATCCAAAGGTCGTTGATCCTTAACAAGGACCAAGAACAAGAGTGGGAGGGAGGGCATCATATGAAAATTGTCCAACATGTTCTTTTCTTTTCTTTTCTTTTTTTAAGCTGCTACTAATGGAAAAGAAAATGAGCTCAGATAGCTACACACAGTGACATAAATTGTGGTTAGGCCAAAAGAGATAGCCATGATTCCTTAACATGTATACAATAGTTTGTGTGCCTAAAAAGTACAGAATAAATGTGTCCCCATTTCCCTCTAAGCACCGATACACACCTTAAACATTTAAAAACACAGTGTGAAAAGCAAACTAGAAGACTAGCAACAGATGTGTGTCTCAAGTGACTTCTTTAGAGAAAGTGTTTGCTGCAGTGGGGAAACAAAGAATTTCAACAACATATTAGACCAGACACAAACAGCAATGGGATGATATGCATTAAGAGGAAAGGTTTACATACAAGGGATTATAAGAGAGCCTTATTAATCTTCAGTTCAACAGTGCTCTGTAATATAAGGCTAGACTGCAAAGAACCTACATTTTTCAAATATCAAACCCGTCCCTCTCATTGTCATTGGAAATAGTTTCTGAAACAAGAGTTGCAGCAGCAGCTTGTGAAATGGCACAAGGGGAGAAATTCTTTTGGGCACAGGTAAGCACTTGGAAAATAGTAAAGTAGCTCACTGTGATCTGATCTCCCTTTATTCTGACTAGTGTCAAAATGGATGCTAGAATGGATTCCATCCAACTTGCCTACCCAACAGAGCAGTTGGTAAATTGCCCAATGCACAGTGCAGTCTAACAGATTTTTAATACTTTTCATAACAACTATGCCAAATAAGCCAAAGTGTTAAATACTAAAATGCTGCTAGAAATCCAACATTGGGTTATACGTTGCACAAATATTTTCTGTATGTAGAAACATTAAATATATGCAAAAATAATTGGCAACCATTGTCAGTCACATTATCCCTTTTGGTGTAATACCCTGTAAATATGCTAAATGCTGAAAGTATTACATCCTTTTAGCTTCCTGCTGCCTGCTTCCCTTCCTACAAACTGCTTATCAATCACACTGTAGCATTTCAGAAACATTTGTTTTATTTGCATCCCATCTTTCCACCAAGAAAAAACAGCACTCCAGGTGGCTATATTTACTAACTACACACTTCTTCAAACTTTCAGCAGTGTCTAGCTGATCCAGAAGTAGACATACAGTTAAAGGCTTAGAACCATTCATTTTTAAATACCAAGCCCAGTTGCACTGTACTTTGGCAAAGGGCTGGTCTCATCATCGTATTGTTGACATTCACTTCCCTTCTGTGCACCACTATTTGTGCTTTAGCAAATTTTCAAGCCAGCGGATCTACACTGCAATCAAACTACAGTTGTCTGCATTGTGATACACTTAAGGGCAAACTTATGAAAGAGGACCTATGTTCTCTCTTCAAGTGGGCTGCATTCACTTTGGTGCACTTACAGGTAGGGCATTTTGAAAAAAGAAATAAAAAGTGCATTTGGTGAGAGGAGCTGAACTCTCTCCTTGTCTTATGATCTACTTACTCTGTCACTTGGGGTACTTTTCTCTCAGCTGGTTCTACTCAGATCCTGGAAGTGAGCTAAGCTGGTAAGTAACATGCCTGAAGCAAAATAGCCTGGTGACATCAAGTGGGGGAGCAGAGTATTCAGCTTTCATCACCAAAGTGCACCCTTTGTTATAAAGGTTAGGTCACTCCCACTTTAAATGAAAACAGAAGAGACATGAAAATCTAGTCTGCCTTGGATCCACTTCTGTTGGGCAAATGCAATGCTCCATGCTTCAATTCACTATTCTTTGCTGATTCTATTAGTAAAATATAAACCACAGCAAATAAGAAATCTGTTTTTATATTTTTAACCATTGAATGAAAGAAAATGTGTAATTGTCAAGAAATAGTGAGTTTGTTGCCACATTGTTCAAGTATTTTTCAAGTGTTTGTGGCTAGTCTGTGAAGAGATAAGCAGACAGCCCTAAGGAGATACACAATATGAAGACAAATTGCAAACACATTGGGTTTTAGTAGATGTTTTAATGAATTACACTCTCAAAAATAATGTAAGCCGATCTTTATCCTTTTCTAAAGTCCCGGGTTGACTGGGTGGATGTTATATAGGCCAGCATGATTTTCTACTGGAAACTACATGAAAATGAGAGGATGACCTGGTGAATATGCTGAAAGGGCCCCTTTCAAGTGCTCCAGGTTCAAATCTATTTTGCTTTTATGCTTGTGGCTGTAACTCTCAAGTCTTGAAGCTCCTAAGACAGTCAACTCTCTCTCACGGTCAAAATGTCACCACAAAAAAGCAGCCCTATAGGTTTCTCCTAGCAGCAATTAGAAGCTTGGACAATTACCATCCAGTCCAGCAAGAGCACTCAACAAACCAGCACCCTGGGAGATGTTCTGGATTTGATGTTTCTCAGCCTTTGCCAAACAGAAAGACAGAGAGAGAAATAGAGAGATTCAAGGGCTTTCCCACCCATGTCATGTTCTGGATGTCTTTAAGCCTTGTTTTTCCATAATATTCCAGAGTTTGCGTAGATTGGACTGTGTGATGACATCATCTGGTTTGAACTGAAGGGCACGGAGATAGTTTGCTTCAGCTTCTAGGAGTTTGCCATTGAGATGAAGAATTGCCCCCAGATTCATTAGGGCAGCTGGATACTGTAAAAGAGAGAGTGAGAGAGAGAAAGAACAGAGGTGAAGTATGATTAAAAGTTTATTTTGCATTTTCTTTCTTCTTGACAACCTTCATCCAAGTCACAAAATTATTCCCTCATGTTTTCGTAGGAATGATATAGCAACTGGAAGAAACATCTAAAGGTAAAAAAGGGAAGGAACTGATTTATTACATTATGCACTTTATGGTCCGAATATGGCAAGCTGTGGTGTTGACATGGAAAGCTTCTACCAGCCCTTTAATAATCATAACACAGATGTCGTGAAACCTTTGCATGTAGTAACACAGGCAGCATATTGAATTTCCAAGGGGTGAGTAAAATAAAAAATAGTCCGGTAACTGATAAGAGGTAGCAAGATGGAAATTGATGTCAGATCAATACATTACTAATAAGATTTTTACTCATGTAATTATTAAAAGGCAGTTTTATACACTCTTTATAAAGATCCAAAGGAAATTTATCCTTTTAGGTACCTTATTTTGGTTGCTGTTACAATATTTGGCAAAAAATCAAACATTCAATCCAAATCTAGGATATCAAAGTAATTCCAAGTAAACCTTTAAAGGAGAAAAAGGCAAAGCAGTCTGACAACTTACTCAACAGAAATGGGTATGAAATAATGACATTCTGTAAAAGGAGAAGGACTTTTTCAGGTTGATCAATTTCTACCATGTGACAGGCTTGAAATATTCCATTGATATAGCTGACTTGAGTTGTGACTTAGAGGTAACGTCAGCAATGTTATATCCACTTTCTATGCTTTTAACTCATTAATCTATGTTTAGATTGCAAAAAATACAATCGTAACTTAGTTGGGCCCAAATTATAATGACATAACCATAGATATAAACCAGAACTCATTGCACAGAAAATTCATCATGTCTAGTGTGAAAATCTACTGGCAAGGATATCTATGGCCAAACTTGACTGACATCTGTGATTTAGGTATTTGTACCTTCCTGTCAATGCCAAAGGAATTAGATGTTTATGAGTCTCAGCAAAAGTAAATAGCAGGACAATGTAATTTCTTTTGTGAAAATTAAATATTTAATACTCTGATTTTTACTGTTATTCTGTTTTAAACTTAAGAGAGGAATCCTATGGTTTCCTAGCCATAAGCCCAGGAAGAGCCTCTGTTCCATTCCCCTGCCCCCTTGTGGCAACCACTGGAAAAAAAACAAACCTGTGCCATTTGCTTCCTGGGGTCACAAGTGTGATAAGAAGAACAGGGAGCATTCCAATAGGAGGGGAAAAAACAGGACAGGACAGAATCTGAAGTATCCTGAGGCCTGTCCATTTATGGCCCCAATAAAATAGAATAAAACAAAAGGAGGACAGGGCAAAGTCTTCCTTCCAATATACAAAGTGATATACTATGTTTTATCATGTTATATTTTAGAATCTTTATTTCTGTGAACCACCAAGGGAGCTTTGGTTCTTGGTTAGCCTAGAAACTTAATCAGTGTGCCCCTGTACAGATATTTACAGCTTCTCCCTATCTTTGACTTCCCAGTAATGTGATTCTTACATACTACTACAAGCATGCATACATAACCTCAAAAATAAGTATCTGCATAAGCCTGTACAGTATTCTTTACTTTAACTTTCTTTTCATTTGACAATGAGTTGCAGAAGAAAGAAAAAAGTTGGGTGGAACAGAAGGATTTGCCCTTTTACAGACTAAGCTAGGTAACTCTGGACATACAGAAGACAGACTAACTGGTTTAAGACTTCATTTGGGTTGGCTTCCTCCCCTCCTCGCTTTCTCTATTAGAACTTTAGAATTAAAGCTGTTATTATCTGACATATACGAATTATTTCTAAGACTATGGTAAGACTTCCCTCTATTCAAATATACACAAGGTGAATAAATGTATCTGTGAAGTACTGTTATTCCTATGCCATTTGCAGCATCCTGATCACCTGACTCTGGAAACAATCTTGTCATCAAAAGTACATTATTCCTTGCTCAGCTTATGAAAGCAGGCTAAATATCAAATAGAATGTGAGATGCTTCGCATTCTGTGATGCTATTCTTGTTGACATTTGAAATCTGCTGCTGCTGCTTTAATTATAAGAAATTGACTACCTTTGTTAAAACAGTGCTGAAGCGGACACAAAGATCACCCAGTTTGGCTTTCTGTCCTTCACACATCTAGCCATACCTGCACTGCATGAGTAGGCCAGATAAGCAGTAAAATTCAGAAAATAGGAGAACACAAAACAAAAAGGGGTTAACATAACAGTTAAATCCAGATGGCACACACAAAATACCTGGAAACACACTTTTTCACTGAAAAAACAACAAGTTAAAAGAAATGATGGCTCAAATGTAGAAGTCTGATAAAGCCAAATTATGATCAGTATTGATTAAATCAACACACTGAACTTGCAATTGAAGTGATTTGTGTATACTGTTGTTTCTTTTTGTTCTTCTTCCACTGTGTGCATATCCTGCTTTTTCCTTCTTGCAAGAATCCAAAGTGCCTTACGTAGCCTTCATACACTCCATTTTATCCCCACAACAAGAACCCTGTGTGTTAAGGCTGAGAGTAAGCGACCAACCCAAAGTCACACTGAGCATCATGGTCAGGCAAGAACTAGAACCCAGATCTTCCTCATCCTCAGCGCACACTGTCTGCCAGTTGGGCAAGCTATGCTCCAATGTTGAATGAACTTTGTGACAGACCCAATTTTTCTGCTATGATGTATTCTGCAAAAGAGTATGACATCACAAAGGACATCTTGTTGTCACCTTATGGTTCTGTTAAATGCAAGCCAGCCAGCCAGTCTGCCTGCCTGCCTGCCAATATTTGTTGCATGCTTGCTCACCCCCTCCATTTTCATAATGCTTGACAGGGCAGGGACAGCAGCCTCTAACTCGCAACAAAAACAAAAACTAGTGTAAATGCCTCCCAAAGAGAAAACTCTACTAGTCAAATAATAAACGTCTTCCTCTTTTTCCAGTTCCACAGTGGACTAAATTCATTGTGGGATTCAGTGGTTTAGAGCGGATTGCGGCAGTCCAAACCACTGAGGAGTTTGCCTGAAGGAACGAATTCTTAGCATCTAGTAAAAAATGGTATGTATGAGGTGAGGCACTACTGAAGTACCCAATTAAAAGAAACTTAAAATAGCATACATTAAAATGTTACACTTTGTATCTTGTATGCCTTGTATCTCTGCTCAAAATGCATATTAATACATAAGTTTTCAAGACTACTTCCACTGAGATTATCATTTGCCTATTTTATTTGTGGGTTGAAAAAATACTGCTCTGTTTAATGTTAGAAACAGAGCGATGTGGCTTGCCCAGTCTCTCCGTCTGCAGAGTACTGGCCTGCCTGTTTAAAATATAACATTATTTATTTAGCATTTCACCCAACTTCATGTTCATTCCTGAAGTCAAAACAATAAAATGTCCTTACTCATGACATGTGTAGCTGAGGATCCCTTGCTTGGAATATGATGCTCAATCAATTGCTCCACATTGTTCTGTAATAATCTAGAGCTGGTTTTAAGGGTCTGTGCCCATGAAAGTCAAACTACTGCAAGGCACCTTTCTGCTTATGCCTTTGTCATTATGTCCTGCCAGCTGAAATTGAGAAACCTTCTGCCACAATCATTAGGGTTTTCTGTCATGCTCATGGAAATTTTATCTAAGACAGCTGAAGAAGATTTTTAGGACATTAGCAGTGCCAGTCAGCAGCTACTAGTCCAAGTATGAGGGGCTTGCTACAACTATAGAACAAATGATGCTCCAAACCACATGAAAGGAAACCATCTCCTTCATTTATTTCCTTTTGGAGGCAAAGGCTTTATGTCAAAAGAAGTCAGCTGGCAGTTCTATTAGAAGCTTAATGGAAATTGTTTATGGGCCCCTGGGAATTACACAGCCATTAGGGAATTCCCATGTAATCATTTGCTTAGCCTTTGCAGATTTATGGATATACTTCTAAGTCTTGTTATCATAGCAAATAGGGATGCAATGATAAGTATTGCACAAGTGCAATTTCAGTCACCGCGGTATTTCATCTCCCATGCACCAGGGCTGAAGCTTACAGTTAAGATTTTAAAGCTTAGGCTTAACAGAATTTTTAAACAAAAATAGCCTAGAGAACAAATTAAAATGTAAAGCCTAAAAAATCAACTGTGAAGAAAGCTACAGCCAAAAAGCACATTCTTCTTGTACCCAAATGAGCAACCGGTGGCACAGAGGGCCACTTTTCAGCAATCCAAATAATTTGCTACAAGCACAGTTGAGCTGGATGATAATTTACCTGTTTCTGCAAGTACAAAGACGTTTGTTTTCTTTTTTTCTATTCAGCTTTCTCTCGCATGCTTTGGTTTTCCTGCTCCCCTGCCCCTCCACTGATTGATAGTCTTCTGTGTTCCTCTTTTCAATATATATGGCCACATTCTGTATTCTATTTTCACATCCAGAAAGCACATTTCCTTCTCTTCTACAACCCCCTAATTACTTTTTATACTACCCTCATCCTTCAGTCAGCATGACTCCTTTCCATTCCTTCATTCTGTCTCTCCCTTGTTCTCTGTCATACCAATATGCACTGCTCTCCAAAGCATGGCTTTCCCATTGCCTCTTCATCTCTATGACAGCTTGGCAATGCTTTGTTTTGCACGCCAGTTCGTATTAGCCATTGGCCAGTGGTATTTGAAATACTTGTCCATAGCAGCTGCTTATGGGCAGGCAATTAGAGTCTCTACAACATGCAAGAACAGATTGTTTGCATGTGGTTGCTAACACTTGTGTGTTGAGCAAGCAGAAGAATTTGTCTCACACAGACAATAGCTGTGCATTACTGGCTTGTAGGGCAAAAGGTCGCAGACGTAAGCATTTCAATAGCCCACCATCAATGTCTGTTAGATGTGATCTTCTGTTGTGCCCTGATAAAACACACACCTTACCTCACCAAAGTCAAAGGCTGCATCAGGGTGGGCCAATTCTGTCACACAAGGAAC